AGGATTTTAGTTGTATCTACAGAAATACTGAATACAAGTATAAAGAGGTTATAATTTCATTGGACAGATCACTGGTTAGGTACCATTTGGAATATTGTGTTTAGTCTTTGGCTCCATACATTAGAAAAGACATTGAATTGTTGGAAAGGGTTCAGAAAAGGGTTACTAGAATGGTGCCTGGGATGGAGGGGTTATCGTACGGGGGGAGGTTGAAATCTCTCATATTGTTTTCTCTTGAAAAAAGAAGAGTTAGGGAGGATCTGATTGAGGTGTTTAAGATTGTAAAGAGAATTAGCAGGCAAGGTAGGAGTCATGTTCAGCTAAGATAGTTTTATTTTCGTAACAAGGTGGTTGGCCTTTGGAAAGGGTTGCCTTCGGATGTTCTGGAATCAGTGAATTTAAGTGAGTTTAAGAGAAAGCTTGGTAAGTATAAGAATGATAAGGGCTGGTTTTAAGATTTAAAAAAATAATTATTAATAGTTTTAGTTTAGTTTAAAAGATGGAACAGCCGAGATAGCCCAATAGGTCCCATGTTGTTCCAAAATGTTATGTTATGTTGAGACTTAGCTTTAAGAACGCTTTACCATTACGTAATAAGGCTAAGCTGTAATAACACATACTATATTAATATCGAGACATCGTTTTACGAAATGAAAGTTGCTATACTGATGTCGAGGCATGATTGTGAGGGTATTTACTATATTAATGTCGAGGAACGAATGGGAGAATGCTTATTATACTAAATGCTTAGCCATGTATGTTAGAAAACTTTCTCTAGTAAATATTCAACTATGAATGCAAAGTATCTAAAATATAACACAATATATTTGGTATTTAAGTTGGAGGCTAATTTGCCAGCAATTTATACTTATTCATTCCTTATTTACAACGCTTTATCTTAAATTATGAAATTTACTGTTATATGTTTGTTACATTTTTCAGGAGTGCCATCTGTAAAAGAAGTATCTTGTACATTTGAAAGTGGGTTTTGTGCATGGCAACCAGATTATGGGAAATACTTCAAAATAGTCCGTGAATACCGTGATATTGAGTTTCCAGAAAGTAAGTGTTTAACGCATAAAATACAAGTAAATATACGAGACCACAAAAAAAAGCACATCTCATGTAGATGTCCAGAGTATGTTTTTTCGTTTTTATCTCTATGTCCCAGTAATTAGTCCTTATGTTTCATATCACTAACGTTTCTACAAAGCTATTTAATAGAAATATAAGAATAAACTTTAATTTCAAGTTTGTTTTGAAACGTAATTTAAACTAGCACAAACATACTGCGTGTATTTAAATCATGATTATCTAAATGTGATTTAATGCATTGTCGGAGACGTGAATAAGCAACCAACTTGAGGCCAGTTGTCGTAGGCCAAATTAGATATGTGTATTTCAAGTAACGTAACAATGACATTCGAAATTAAACAACACTATGTCAACAATTAAAATAGCTTAGAAAATGGCAAATTAAAAATGTTAGGTAGAACTGTTTGAATCTGTTTTAATTTAAATTAAATTAGGGTTAACAAAAACTCTTTAACTAATCTAACACATAATTAATACACGACAACTATGTTTATATTAAATAAAGGACGAAGTTGACCAATGGACATTGGTTGAGATATGAAAGCAAAAGTAGCATTAATCATAATAACACATCCATCAAAGTGTGTTCACTACATTTCTTGGCTTAAACCTCATATCTGTGAGTTGACTTCAGTAAGGATTTATTTGACCTTTATCACTTCATCTTTCACTTTGGTGAAAAGTGGAGCACAAAAAAAATATATAAGTAATCAGAAGGTTGCACTTGATGCTAACAAGTTATAATCAGCTTATACATAGACGTAAATATGTGTGTTTATGTTTTAATGAATATTACCTTGTTTCTTTAAATTGAAACCATAAATAAATTTTAGTTGTATTATATAGCATTGGTGTTTTGGAAAAAGATTCAGCCTTAACTTAAACCTATTAAAGTGGGAAAACCTTGACTTGTGTTCTTTGGTTTACAACTGAAAACTTTGCTAACAATGACAGTGGCCAACTGATGACTTCATGCAATTTCATCATTGTATGTTTCAAAACTCATACCACCTAGATATACAACTGTATGTGTATGTATACCTTACTTATGTTCTATATGTATATATTCCAATACTGATTTATATCCGTATAATTTAAGCTTAGAAGTATTTAAAATGTAATTTTCTGATCATAAAGTTTCAAATATCAGCCAGACGCAGAATGATTGAAAGTTTATACCCCTACTTTTCCATCAATATGCGTAACACATTAGTATAAAGTAACTGACAAAATTAAGTGCGTTTGGTATAAAATTATTCGAAGGAAAAATGAAATTCGAATTTCAGCTTTTGATATTATATAAAAATATATTTGATCTTTTGCATATCCATATTTTTGCAATTTATATATACCTTTAAATTATAGTCCCGTTTTATTATGCCAAAATAAAATAAAATGACGTATACTATTCCAATCTTACGTTATCCTACCTCATGTTTCACTTAATAATAAATGTGTTCCAAAATTTATAATTCACCATTCAGACTGAGAAAACAACAGAATACATGTGCAAACAAACATTTATGCACAATAAGAAAGACCAAATGATGTATTGTGTAAAAATGATAAAAAACACACACACCATAATACATTAAAAATAAGCATAGTTAAGAGGCTGGGATCTCATTCTTTAGTGTAATAGTTTATACATTTAGTAGAAAGTCGAGATTTCTTGGTTATAAACCTTACGAATTTTAGTATAAGGTCGTGGTTTTATGGTTATAGAGAAGGTCCTGAGCTTGGTTCAGTTCAAAGTCGTGGTTTCTTGGTTAAGACAAGGTCTTGAGCAAAGTTTAGTAGTACAAGGATGTGATTTTGTAAGTTTAGACATGGTTCTGAGCGAGGTTCAGTTAAAAGTCGTAGTTTCTTGGTTATAGACAAAGTCCTGAGCAAAGTTTAGTACAAAATAGTGGTTTCTTGGTTATTAACAAGGTCCTGAGCAAAGTTTAGTACAAAATAGTGGTTTCTTGGTTATAGACAAGGTCCTGAGCAAAGTTTAGTACAAAATAATGGTTTCTTGGTTATAAACAAAGTCCTGAGCAAACATTAGTGTAAAATAGTGGTTTCTTGGTTATAAAGAAAATCCTGAGCAACCTTTAGTACAAAATAGTGATTTCTTGGTTATAGATAAGGTTCTGAGCAAAGTTTAGTACAAACTAATGCTTTCTTGGTTATAGACAAAGTCCTGAGCAAAGTTTAGTACAATATAATGGTTTCTTGGTTATAGACAAGGTCCTGAGCAAAGTTTAGTACAAAATAGTGGTTTCTTGGTTATAAACAAAGTCC